TTGAATGTGCTGCTGAATAAATGACTATCGCCAAAAATGTAATTTAATGGCATACCCTGATCGTTCAAACCTGGTGTAACATTGTTGTGGATGTCACTCTCAGGTTATATCCGTACGGCACCCGAACTATATTATTTCTGAGATAGCGATTAAGATGGGAAGGGGCTTAACTGGACTGAAATAACTAGAGATTATTCAGATACCACTGATCTGAATTGACCTTTTCTTTCCTTGTAGCGGTGCAACTGAGTGTTTCCATCAGGTTTGTCGAGTTCAAGTGATGTTTTCCAGTGGCGGATCCAATGGTTTTATAATCGATTTGAATTTGACTTCCAATCAAGGACACTCTTTATTCAACTGCGCACGCGGCACACACAATGTTCACATTTTCCAAATTAAACTCTCAATGAAGAAAGGTTTTTGACGCCAAACATCAAAAACACAGCTCACTGGTAACTTTCAAATGATCAGTTTGAAGGTTTTTCTAGATCTTACCAATTTTACTGCTCGATATAAACAGTCCTATATCTCGGGGAATCTTTGGATCTAAAGACTGAAAAGCCAGCCTCCAGGCTTCTTATTATACTCACTTTTTAAAATGCCATTGTCAGTATTACAATATTCCCCTAAACGCATAATCAGAAAATGTTAAATGGCTTATTTCACTGACAACTGTGGTTAGGAAACATTCTATCTTTTCCCTCTTTAGAATGTTTCCTTCTTCTAGCATATGGAACAATCGCCCACACTAGGTGTATATCATCTCCTAAGTAAGTCAATTGACACAATTCTTTGACAAAGTAAATGAATTAAAGAAACCTTACTCTCCTTTACCTTTTAAATTTTCTAAGCCGTTACTAGTCCTCAAACCCGAAACAGTCAAGACAGGTTAAATCTGAGAGTCAGCTAGATTTTTTCGCCGGACAGTTGATTTAGGGTAGCCTCCGGAAAAAGCGTGCCAGGGGTGCTTCTATAAAAGAAACCATGAAAAACTACCTATCACGGTAAAGCTAGCGCTTATAGCGTATAGATTGCGAAAATAATAAAAGCTTTGATTGGTTTTGTTTCGATAGGCACGTGCAAGCCGTTAAAGACAAAACTGACGGTGTTTGTTTAACTGAATTACCAGTCTTTGCGTTACCGCGGACAACCAAACAAGTTGGACTGTATCATTCAGCAGACGAAAGGCTAGAAAAGGATGTGAGGCTTTTCCGAGATTTATATTGGTTCGCGAGAGAATCTTTATTGAAGTTGGACAAAATAAAATAATCAGTCGGTTCAGTTAAAGCCTCACACATTTTTGTGCGTTAGCTAGTATCCAATAAATGGTCTGACCAAGTTTCATCAAAATCCAACAAAACTACATACCCTTGCAATTCGTCTAAGTAAAGTTAACTCGCGTGAAAACAGACATCAAAGTTTCGGCCTTCAAAGAGATTGAGTTAGGTTTTTGTCGAGGGTCAAGGGTAGTAGGTAAAATGTCAAGGGTTCAAAAAAAGTTATTGGTATCTATTATTCATTCATTTACTCAATTATTTTTCTTATTTTACTTGTATCTTGTGGTCAGAAATGTCCGCAAGTTAACTCGAGCGTTTCCTCCCGTTATCACTTTCTCGCATTCTTGCGCGTGTTTCAGTGCGTTATAAAGTTCGTGGGGGAAGGATTTTTGACTGCGTTCTCCTTCCTAAGTAATCTCTGTTTCGATTTATTGGATGTCTTTTGAAACATGCAAAGCCAGATATGGAAAACAAACTAGAGCATTAAGGGCTTAAAGTGACATTCAATCCATCTGAGGACGGGGATCGCTTGTATTCCTCGGCTGCACAGGCTCTAGGCATTGAAAGTCAGAGCCTGAAGAACGTGATGTTCGAGTACCAAAAGAACGAAAGTACAAAAGCGAGACACTGATATCAAATGTTTTCGTTATAGCTCGATTGTCGCTCCTATTTTGAAGCCTTATTTTCTCTTTACAATACTTCTGTCGTCGAAATTTATCGCCAAAAAACACTTCTTGTCCGCTGAAACGGCCGCCAGAAATAACTCATGGTTCGTTTTGAGTGATCTAGGTGCGGATGTCGACAAATTTATAAAGGTCTCCGCGCTCCAGGAAAAATAAGTAATAATAAATAATGAATCGAGACCCCCGGACAAAAGTCCGAGAGAAACCGTCAACCCTCTGCTGAAGACTTTTTAAATCATTACACCTTTCACTATTCGGTACCAACTACCCTAAAATGATAATGGTCACCATATTTTTTTATATGCCTATTTTCATCCTATATAATTTCATTCATTTATCTTATTTTTTTAAGTTTTTGCAATGCGCCTTCGGCCGTTTAGTTGATAAGGGTCTTTCAGCGGTCCTAAGTCCTTTTCAAGAGAAAAGAAGATCCGTTTGTTTTCTTACACCATTTATTCTCTTTGGCGATATGTCACCTTTTGTTCCAGCCCGTACGCATGATTCTACTTATTTCATTTTTGTTGTCCCTTTCCGATCAAGGGGTCGATAATGAGAGTCATGAGAGTAGTGTCCTTTAGGTATTTCTTTCGGTATTTAGAATGACTTGGGCGTCATGTTGTCACAAGTTTTTGTTCTTTTCATTCCTCTCCACCAAGTCTAGGTTTTTCAAACGTCTGAACGATATTCCCGACAGATTTTCACCAAGCCGAACAACCAGCCAAAGCATTTTAGAAAAACTCCCACTATCTATTTAGATTTGAAATGCTTGATTTGTTTTTACTAAATCTCCTTGCGAAATCAAAAAACGCAATTGTTTGTTCTGATGTTCCGTGTTCCCTGACATTCCAGAGTTCATTACTTTAAAGAATCTGGAATTAATTCCAGATTCTTTAATGTAACTTTTTGAAGCAAGGATGGTAATATTCCAAGAGAGAATATTTCTTTTAAAGCTGGATTGATTTTTCCGAAGTTAGGGGGAAACAGTCACATTTGAATAAAGCTATATCGCGGAAGCGAAAAAGGCTGGAGATTGTTTAATAGAAGAAGCTAAAAGGGCGGGCAACGCCATTACAGAACTAACCGTAACGTGGCACCACGTTGGTTGCTATAGAAATGAGAGACCCAAGATCATGTTGGGAACGAAGTGATTCCATCACTAACAGAGTCGGCTTTTTAAAGAAAACCTACCAGTTGTGTAGTGCAAACCCCTTTATTGGATAGAAGTATATCGGATGAGTTTAGCAAACACTGCATGAAATGCCAAATATAAGGAAGTGTAATGAAGCATTATACATTGTGTATACGCCGGGAACGATATACTGATGTATAATGATTTTGTTGAANTCCACTAATCTTTGTTCGTATCTTATCTTGCAGAAAAGGACGGTTTCGATGGTGCAGATCTCCTTGGCACTGCTTAAGTTCTAGAATAACTAAGGCACTACTTTCCCTTAATAAAAGAGCGACTAAAATTCAACAAATTGATCTTGATGAACGCTGAACCTAGACGGATGGGGCGATTTCTTCGTCGGTAAGATAATTAATTTTCCCGCCTAAGAATTTGACACATGCGTGGGTCCCCCGAGTCTCAGCGGTTTCACAAGTAAGGTCATGTGTTCTCATTTTGTCGCCGAGAAACAATGACGATTACAATTGGAATACTGCATTTGCACAAGATGAACTTGATTTCTTTAAAGACTCTCTGATTTTAGGACTCCTCACTCCGAATTCGTAAACTTTTCCTTGAACAAATTAAATGATATTTTTATGTCCATGTCTTAGTTTGTCTCCACTTAAACTGAATTCTTTGCTCTTTCTATTTTAGTCTGCAGAATCAAATTCTACAAGCAATTCGTTTTGCTCGTCGATTAACGATTCACAAAACAGCAGCGACGATGAAAATTTAAAACTAACATCGACACCTAATAAAAAGAGAAAATCTCCCGAGGATTTTGTAAGTGTTTTTTCTGCCAGAAAGCCTCAAAATCGCTCAAAGCTCGGCGGTTCATTCGGCTCGCTCTCCCTAGTGAAGAAATTCGATAAGGCAGGCAGCTTAGGCCTCCAGATCCCACACCACCTCGTATTCGAGACAAAAATGTTTTACCTTCTGGGTCTTATTTTCCCACCGAAATTCAACAGGCCACAGAAGAATTATCCAGCTGTTACGGAGACTCGGTTTTGAATCATTCTCTTCAACGGTTTACGAGAAAATGGAACGCAAAGTCGTAGATTTGGAGCTCTTCTAGGGATCCGGACGTGAGGGGTACTCAAAGAAATTCCAAACATGCGTTTCGGTATCGAGTCTCCGACCCAGCCACCCTACCCGAGGTACAAAAATTTGAAAAATGTGAAAAATTGTATTCCCTGTTGGGACCCCAAAGGCGCTACTTTGTACTTCCGGCGGATGTCGAAAGCCAAAATCGACCAATAAGTATAAAGCGCTGAGAAAACGTGTCTGCAGTTCGCCCTAATTCAATTTCAGTGAAAAGTTACAGACCATTTTTGAAATAGGATTAAAAAAATGTGGAGTGATCGTACAAAAATCGCTCTTGAAAAAAAGTATTTAGAAATAAAAAATTCAGAGAGAATTTTCGCTGTTTTTATGTAAAACTAGGTACTGTCAAAATTTGAGAGCAATCAAACAAATTCCCTTTGACTTGCAGCTCTTAAAGGTGACTCGAGCGCTCGCATGTAGAAGTCGCAAAAAATTCGAAACTTCATCTTTTTCAAAGTTTTTGGTATAGTCTGATAGCCAGTCCTATAAGCTTTTATTTGATATAGGAGTTTAGTCATCTACAGTTTAAACCGGACGCGCTACATCGCTTGCACGCGAGACACCAACTGAAGGTGCACGGTAACCTTAAAAGGTCTTCAATTTTTGTTCTCTTCATTCAATTAATATAGAGGGCAAAGCAGATGAGCTAAAGTCGAGCTAAACGGCCCTAAACCAGCAATGAAAACTCAAACATTGCAAAGGAACAGTTACTCAAGCGAGGTAAGTTTGTTTTTATTCAAAGCTAGTTCAGATTTTTANATGGAATGCAATGCTGCTGGCTCCTGTTCTGCAAGTTGGTCCTTTATGTTCTTCAAAGTCTCCCTTGATGTGGTTGTCAATATGTTGTACATTTCAGAGACATATTCTGAAAGAAGATTGAACAGTGGACTGTGTTATTATACTAAAATAAACAGTGGTACGAGTTGAAGTGCCAACTCTATTGGATTTATGGTCAAATTCATTGAAGGGTGATAACTCACCATAATTTGGATCAACTCTGACTTCTCTGACTGTTGCCTCACCCTGCTTGAACTTAGGGTATGTGACTTTAAGCCTAGATTTTCCATGTTCGTCAACCTTGGTTTCTCTTTTTAGGTTATAGTTGAAGTGGATTGCTGCAAGAACAGTCCTGTAAAAATAATCGTATTGGTAACACTATTTGCAGCATTTTCTTTCAACTGCACAAGTTTATATCCACTAAGTGGTACTTACCGGCACAACATCCCTGAATAGGAGTAAGACAGCATTTTTGGGGCAAACTGGTTTACCACAGAGTGGTAACCCTCCAAACAGCTAGTTTGGGCAACAGGAGAGGCCTGCTTGATCCCTTTCAACAATGAATTTTGGGTGAGAGCCTCTACCAACTTTTCGTAAGCAACAGAACCTGAGAAAAAGGAGGTAAAGGCATGGCAACTCTGACATTCTTTCAGTTACCTTTGCTATTTGTCTGTAAGGACTTACTTTGCATCCTGCCAAACCTCAGTGAAAGATTATCACAACACTGCTCTCTTAAAATAACAATTTAAACTTGCATTATTAACAATAAGTATGTCAAAATGCAATGCTCATTTAATGCAATGCAATGCTCATTTAATGCGGTGAACAGTAACAATAACAGTAACAGATTTCAAATACCTTTTGTCAACCAAACTTTTTGTGTGTTTATTACACCATGGGCACATTTGTTAAATAACTGGTTTGGTAGATCCTTGTGATGGTTGATGATGTGATAGAGAAAGGTTTTGAACTTGGCAAGTATGACTTCTCCCAGCTTTGGTTCTGTTGAGGTAACTGACCAATAAAAGTGCCTCACACATGCCTGTTTCCACCTTGCAATTACTTCACAGCCTTTCTCCTTACTGATCTTTGTCAAAATCTTTTGAATCTCTTGCAGAGAAAACCAAAGGATGAAAAACAGGACATTTAGACTCGTCAGTAGCATCATTTAGCAACATTCGACCAAAGGCATGATGCATATCAGTGCCAAGGAAAATTATATACACAAACATGAAAGCAAGCTTACTTTTGCCAATGTGCCATAGGTCGAAGAAGTGGTCAATGAGAGGCTTTCCTAATTCCTGGCATTTCTTGGGGCAATCCTGCCTCATCCACTTTGCAATAGACTGGTGGCGGTCAGAAATGAAGGACTTAATTATCATTCCAGTTGCAAGCAAGAAAGCAAAGGCTTTTTGATGTGCAAAAAACTCCATGTTAGAACTGCTGCCTGCTTCATTGGCCTGCAAAACCATTAATTTGGGATCATTGTAAAAAATATAAGACAGAATCATGCTATTGGAGCAAACTCACTAATGAGACTATACTGCAAAGAGGTGAAGAATACACAGATTGCTCTGTTAGACACCTTATATTTTAGCTTGTGTTGTTGAGCACCACAATTTGTAGTTATTTAACTGCATAGTTACTCAAGTTTTGTTGAAATTTACCTGGACAAGCACAATGTGAATAATGAGGCCGACAGTGCAGCAGAATATGGTGTAGGTTCCATATTTTGCTGAGTGGCCCATGCTGTCATGCCTGCCATCACCAGCTAGCACAACTTCTTTCCCATTCAGTGAAGTTATGACTTTCTCCTGATAGGAATGCCAAAATTTCATAATTGTGGGGAACAGGAGGTGCCGTTGATGGTAATAATAGGTGGCCTCACTGTAGCATAGCAGTCCCATGTGTTTGAAAACAAGTAAAACTTTGCCCACTGATGCTCCAGCACAGATGATAGCAAAGCTAAGAAGTATGTTTCCTGCTGGAAATTTTCCAATCAGGAAGGGTTGGCTGTTCCAGGAAAAGGTACCACTGCAACTTCTACACTTGGAAGTAAATGACAACATTGTTCCCGTCTGGCTAACATTAAGCTCTGGCTCAGGAGCAAAGCACAAATGACAATGCTGAAATAACAGGAGAAGTTTAGAGAGAAAGACTATTCCCTTGGGTTCCTCTTGACAGCTTTTGCCCTCACACTTCAGCCTGGAAATGACAAAAAAATAAAATTAAACCCAAATTGTTTACCTGCTCAGTGATTGGTAACATGTTGTAGGTTTAGGTTTTGTACTTAAGCAATGTTGAATACCTTACCTAGGTTTCTTAGAATCGTCAGCATCATCATCTCCTGCTTTATTATAAATGTCATCTATTTCTTCAGGTGCCCATGTGGGATCATTATCATCCCACTTTTCAGTAGCTTCCTCTTCGATGAGCGCAAAATTCATTTTGCAATCCAGTTCAGACTCATTTCCATCTGTGTCACCACTTAATAGTGAAGTATCGGCACCTACACACATATTAGTAATAAACTGACTATGAACAGAGAGTTCCACAAATGAAGCATAAAAATAGGTTACAGTTATGTGAAACAAGAACTATGAAGTGGTAAATATGTACTACAGCTTACCACTATTATTGTGAAATTTTTCTTTCATTGGTGAGTTATTAATGTCTTGAAGTGTTTTCACCCATTCTGTTTGGTTACTTGTCATCTTCTGCTTATAATCATTCAATTTTGATTCTGCACTTCTCAGTTGCCTGAGAAGTTTCCTCTTTTCCTTTCTTAAATCCTCACATTTCATGCAGGTTTGTACCATTCCATCAGTAGTCTAAAATACAAGACATTGATACTAAAGTCTTGAATGAAACATTCACTTATATTTACTGGAATTCAACATCTCACTTGCCTCTTGAAACAAAGATCCTCTAAGTTCCTCAGAAAAAGATGGTATTGGAGTATCTGTACGTGGGTCAGACTCTAGGTTTATGCTCTGTTATAAAAGTTAAGTTAAGTTATTTCAAATAGTTTAACTTCAGAATGCAAAGAAATTGGCGAAATATGTTGTACGATTCTTAAGTGTAGGATATATATATATATATATTAGGTTTCTTGAGTAATCACCGNCGAGGCCTGAAGATAATGAAGGTATTAATGAAGGTAAGCAGAAATAAAATTGTTCTTAAAACGGAGACAAAGAAAATAATTTATTATACTTCACTACGTGAACTGTCATTATAATTATAAACACAGAAAGTGCTCCTCCTAACAAGCAGCCAAGAATCAGCAACCCTGACGATCAGGCTGGAGGGTCTGGGATCGAAGGTAGAATTTCTTATTTTTATTTATCCGAAAAGTAAACTTATATCGGCCAGCACCAACAAAAAGTATTTATTCCAACGTTGCAAGAAGTCTAGTGAATTCCAAATAAAACTGACTAGTATTATAATTTCGTTTTGTACACAGCTTTGCCCGATGAAGTATTGGTCGAGGTGTTTAAAAACTTCTGCCTTAAAGAATTGCTTAAAACAGTGTGCCTGGTCTCAAAGAGGTGGAGGCACATTATAAACAACAATAACATTCTGTGGAGTTGCCTACTTCTTGATGAGTGGCCCATGCAATATTTAAATGAAGAACAAATTGTTAATTTCATGTCGCACTCCAGTGGGTTCAGATATTTATCTATAAGATATATCGAAATAACAACATCAGAAAGGAGGCTTCAAACATTGTTAGGAGATAGTCTGGGATTTTCTAAACGTTTGAGATATCTGGATTTAAGTGGCCAACCGATATCATCCCTTAATTTCCTATTGACTGACTCTAATTCTTCTCCTCTTGAAACCTTAATCCTAAATGACTGTAGAAAAATAGATACTTGTTGTTGCACGGCTATTTTAGAGCAATTACAAAATCTTACAGTACTATCACTCAACAGAGTAGGATTCACTGCCAATCAAGTGGCAACTATTACTTCCTCATTATGCTCATTGAATGTTCTGTGCCTGGTTGGTGTAAGCCTTGAAAGAAACGACGTAAGGCTGATTTTGCAAAAATTGAACAGCCTTCAGTTTTTTGAAATATCTTGCAGTTCCGAAGATAAAGAATATATTGATGCTCTAGGGGAAGAATATGACGTTACTTTTGTCTGCCTCTAAGAGTAAAAGCATGTTACATACTATAGCGGCATAACAGTGTTATGTTATAGAAAATAGTTTGTCATTTAGTGAAGGTATATATAACCAAGACATTTTTCATGTGACCTGTAAAGTACAATAAAAGCAGGCTATTGTATTTATTTAATGCATGTGTGTCAATTTTATTGAGGTTATTGCAAATAGATAAAGGACTAACCTATTAAAAGTTGTGAATGTATACAAATAAACTCTTTTTGTAAATTTTAGATGTAGCTGCAAAATGTCCTGTGCCTACCACTTCTGGTTCAACCACAGGCACAAAGATTGATTTGGGAACTGTTGTCAAAGATGCTGCAGGCTCTTGGGATGTTTTGAGGCGATTATCGCACGAAATTACAGATGAAAAAAGAATGCAATACCTTACATTACACTGCAAACCTTCTGAGTCTGATATACTTCATTCTCATCAAGTTACCAAAGGAAAGAAGACATGGAAAGTTTCTTTTCAATCGAAATGGCTGAAACAGTTCCCATGGCTTTGCTACAGCTACATACTTGAAGGTGGGATTTGTAGTCACTGTATCTTATTTCCTAACAAAGTTACCAAGGGTACAACACCACGTGTATTGGTCACAGTACCGTACCAGAAATCTTACACTAAGGCACTTGGCAAGGATGGCATCCTCAACTGTCATGAGCAATCTGCGATGCATAGATACGCAACTGAACAGGCAGACCTCTTCAAACAAACTTTTCAGAATCCTGAGAGGTATAGAGTAGATTCCCAGCTGGCGACGGCCGAAGCCAATCAAGCCACAGAGAACAAAGAAATTCTACGACAGATTGTTCTAGCTGTTGAGTTTCTAGCAAAGCAGAGTCTGTCCTTTAGAGGACATCGTGATGATCGTGTCGATTTTTCAAGTTATGAAACTAACAGAGGAAACTTTGTTGCTCTACTTCAATTACTTGCGAAAGGAAACGAGCCTCTTCAGAAGCACCTCATGTCAGCAAGCCGACAAGCAAGATATACCAGCAAAACTATTCAGAATGAGGTCATTCACGTGTATTCATCAAAAATTAAGGAAAGGCTGACAGCAGAGCTGAGGGACAAGGGCCTCCCTTTCACGATTATAGCAGATGAGGGTACAGATCCACACTCAAACCAGGAGATCTTATCTTTATGCCTGAGGTTTGTGGACCAGTCTTCGCCAAACGATCCTCATGTCAAAGAATGCCTGATTAGTTTTATGCACTTACAACGAACAAATTCCACCATGATTTCAAGGAAGATTTTGGAATCTCTCTCTGATCCATCTGTTTCTTTGGATCCTAGCAACATCCGTGGTCAGGCATATGATGGAGCTTCTGTTATGTCAAGTGGAAAGGAAGGAGTGCAGGCTAAGATAAAAGAGTTCAGTCCGTTGGCTCTTTTCACGCACTGCTATGCTCACTGCCTAAACCTCTCCATCGCAGCAACATGCAAACTGGCAGAAGTGCGAAATTTGATAGGTCTGATTAACGAAGCATATCTTTTTTTAAATAACAGCCCGAAGCGACAGCAGCTGTTTGAGTTGACACTGAAAGAATACCTTCCTGAGAATTCTCACAGCAAGCTTCCAGGTCTATGCAAGACACGCTGGGTGGAAAGGCACACATGTCTAGATGTTTTTCTTGAAATGTATGAGATTCTTCTCACATTTCTTGATGCTATTGTTGCCCCCCACGAATACCCGAATTTAAAATCATCTACTGGAAGCTGGAACTGGGACAAGGATACCATCACAAAAGCCCAGGGACTGAAAGCCTCTTTGTCGTCATTTCAGACAGTAGTGGTTTTCATTACAACCAAGAATATTCTTGATGAAGTCAAAGCTCTTGCATCAAAGCTGCAGAAACGGGACCAAGATATTTATGAAGCATACATGATGGTTGATGAAGTAATTGGAAACATCAAGTCTGCTAGAAAAAACATTGACAGCGACTTTAAAGTGTGGTACACAGAAGTATTAAACCTTGCCGAGAAACTGGGAATCGTGGAAGCCGTACCCAGGAAGACAAGCATACAGAGGAACCGCTCAAACATTCCCAGCTCTAGTCCAATTGATCATTATAAAAAATCTGTGGCTATTCCCCTCCTTCATTCCTTGATTAGTCAAATGGAAGACCGGTTTTCTGTCGAAGACCGCCACGCACGCCACTTGCTTTATCTTGTTCCCTCAATCATAGTTCAAAACACCATGGAGCTATCTGAAGCAACAAAAGGCATGCTGTTCTGGGAGAATGACCTTCCTTTTCCCAAATCCCTTGGGAATGAGCTGCGAAGATGGCAAACTCTGTGGCAGTCAACAGAGAAGGACCTCCCAAACAATCTTTTATTGGCACTTGGCGCGTGTGACGAGGATGCTTTTCCAAACATCCATCGTCTTCTACTCATCGCATGCACCCTACCAATCAGTAGTGCGGAAGCTGAGCGGTCCTTTTCGCTCATGAAACGGATCAAGACCTGCACCAGATCAACGATGTCTGAAGAGCGCTTCTCAGACCTTGCTGTAATTGCGATGCATTACCCTGAGAGATTCGAGGTAGACGAGATCTGCGAGGCTTTTGTAAAAGCCCATCCAAGAAGACTTTTTCAGGCTTCGTTGTTTGATTAATGAGGTATGCTAATGCAGTAGAAAAACGACAACAACTGCTGGACAGTTCAATCATACATTATTATTTTTTAATTTCTGTCTGAGAAATAAGATTAATCCCAGATTTTATATCATGCCTTCACAAAATCTAAACATCATATTTTTGGGGGACAGGTATGACACTGGAACTGTTAAGAGCTCACGCCAGAGGCATGGGGCCATCACTCGCCTTCTGCCATTGGCGATAAAAGTGTACTACAATAATGTACAAACGGGCCGCCGCAAGGGTTTCAATAAAAGCCGGTTACCGGCGGTTTACTGCCGCCTGTCATGCCTCTTTCAGCCGTCTATTCACAGTTTGTAATTCTTAGTCTCTCTTCTACTAGAACTAAACTAATAAGTAATGCAAGAAAGCAACGGAAGAATTCTAGAACGGAAGACAACGTCAAAAAAAACAC